CTTTTCCACTGTTGTGCGTGGAAGCAAACTTTCAAAGAAGTGTTTTTTTAAGAACTCTTTCATAATATTCTCAATTGATCCGGCTCTAATAGTACCAATCGATTGTCTTGCTGAGAGGAACCAAATGAATCATCTATCACCTCTGAAGATGACAAGAGTACGAAGGTGCGAAGGTCCACCCTTTTTCCCAAATGAGGTTCAGAAGGTTAAAACCCTCCAGTATCACGTGGTTGCGAGAATTTTCTTAAATATTTCTGGAAAAAGCCTGCAAGAAATCTCTTTCCTCACCAGTAGATTGAGACGATGACGGTTTAATATTTGAAAAATAGGAACTTTTTAGTGAAACCCAGAAGTTTCATTTTTGTGCATAATTTCACTGCTTTTTGATAAACAATTTATACAAAATATGGATTCATTTTGAGAAGATACTGAAAATTAAATTTGGGCTTCAAATAACTTAACTCCAAAAATTAATACATCCGTTTCATCGGGAAGATCAATCCATTCTCAGACTGACGGCTTGCGGACGCACGAACGGAGAGACATGATGAGAAGAACTTCATTTGCTGAATTAATAACCACCGACACGTAGATTTCAACTATAGGAGAAATTAAGTTACTACTTACCCGAGAAGAAAACATCAACTTCTCTGGTATCAAGAACCCACAATACGAGTTTTATACAAAAGAATATCGACACTTATTAATAAGACATTACAACAGTTTCTCTATTCTACGTAGTATTACGAGACAGCTAAAGCTTTTTCCGACAGTTATGACATGTGTGATTTACTTTTATTGTTTCTTGATTTTTATGATCGGCAAAGGATAAATTGAAACTTTAGGGCAGCGTACCCAACCAGGGTTCTCCGGAACGTTAACAGCTCTCTTAAAAAGCATGCTCTCTGCAACTTCCGAAACTCGGAGGGAAGATATCCGTGGTAGAAGTTCCAATGCGGAAGAGCCACAGAACATGCGTTTGATTGCTCGTTGGAGATACTTCGGAATTATCTTAAATCTCTGTTTTCGACTTCTTTGGGATTAAATTCTGAAATTGCCTCTTGGCCTCTCTCTTCTTTCTGCCTTCTCCAACTGATAGGCTTCAGAATAAGCTTTTGCTTTTTATAAGCCTCCAAGGGTATAAGTAGTGTCAACAATATTAATTATGTTTATTTTAAATTTTTTACGTTAGAAACCTTTGAGGGAGTCGGATTAGACACCAGCCTGTTTAAATTCCAAATTCCAATAACATTTTTTACAAGACAAGTAAAACAAACTATTTTGCACTCCATCAATAGCTTTTAATGTTTTCTTCAAAATAATGTAATGCTTAGAAGACTTACCGATGAAGTATGAAAATAGGGCAACTGAGAATAAGAACTTGATTTTTTTTTTGCTTTTTACTGTTAGCATTAATGAACGACTGTCCGGCAACGAGTGAAGATGAAGACACTACCGTTCGACTGCGTTGCAGTCTTGCAAAGAACTACAATTTTAGTACGTTTGCAACAGGCAACAGCACTCTACAGAGCTACTAATCAAGGGACTCGCATTTGGATCCGGGCCCGGATTTGAGAGCGACCCCTTTTTCCTAATAATAAATTTAATAATAATAATAATAATAATAATAATAATAATAATAAACATTTAATACATTATCTCTTTTATAAATTAGCTATCATGACATTCTCTATCTCAGCCACTTAAATTATGTACTTAAATTATCTTAAGAGTCGTATTCTAATCCCATTCCGGTATTCAAAGAACACCAATGGTAGGGGTGGATCAACTCACAATAAACTGCGATATATTCGAAGGAAAAGTTAATAACGTCCTTTTCTTGGAGAATTAGTTCAACATGAACAAACGTTACGCCGAATGCACAACTGTTTTCTACATTGACAGCTACTAATATACGATTTTAACGTGTTTATGAGCAGGCCTGATAACATAACCATGGTGTTTCCACCAAGCGATTACGCGTGGCAACGGTTTCGTATTGTTTTGAAAACCTTCGAGAAGCAGTGAAAGACGAAACTGTCACTTAGGGTTAAAGAAGTTTCGTATTGTTTTGAAAACCTTCGAGAAGCAGTGAAAGACGAAACTATCACTTAGGGTTAAAGAAGTTTCTAGAAATAAAAGTTTGAAACGGAGAAATAAACGTACTAAACGCTGATCAGGAAAAAAACATACGCTGGAGTCGATCGTTGTCAACCCCCACTCACATACACACACCAGTGATATGTGAATGTTAACAGTTTCAGATTCACTTAATACATTATCACAACTTCCCCAAATGTGGAATCTGTACAACGTGAGACCCCACGGAACACTCGTGATAGAAAAAAACAAGGGTCGGAGCGCACTTCGAGACAGGAATATCCGACCTCACGCTAAGGGTACTGCTGTAACTGCGGAGCCCTCTGATTGGGAGGTACCTGTCCCGACGGTGGCAGGATTTTCGACACTAGCTACTTAGCTTGGTCGAGGTCAGCCGCTGTCTGGAGGAGAATTCTAGCAGCCAGGTGCTCTCAGCGCTAGTTTTCTGTATTTTTTAATCAAAACACATGAATATCAGAGAGGTACCCTAAAACAGCCACGAGATTTTTTCTTCCTCTTCCTTGCCCTATTCTCTTCCCTTTCTTACACACTAACACTTACATGCACTACACTACCAGATAAGTCGAAGTACCAGCTGGGAGATTAGAGCTGGTGGGAGATATCGATTTTGACAATCCCGCAAACCGATGTATCCAGCAACCCGGCTTTCCCGTTAGCTAATACGGTTATTGCACTTACGTAACGTGAAATGTCAGTTACCATTGTACGCCAGTACCAAAACGCCTCAATTGTAACTATATAAATGTAGGCAGAAGAGCAGGTGGTGTGGCTTGGGTTTCGACAGAAATAAAGACATTATTATTATTATTATTATTATTATTATTATTATTATTATTACTATATTATAGGTCGGCAACGGATATTGCCATCCAGTGGGCGATATCCCCGTCACATCCCGTGATAAAACATGCACTACACTTACGGCAGTAATGATCTTAGTCGTTGACGCGACCGAAGCCATTAATCAATAAATCATTAGATTCAAGACAGAGCAGTGAAATCAATATTTCCCCAGGATACAAGAATTCTAGCTTTGCTATTGCGTACCCACTAGGTTATGATAAGAGTTAACTAGTTCACTTTCCCTTAGAGAGTTTGATGTCACGTTCTGGAAAAATATTAATTTCTCTCTGCAATGCACACAATGCATCAAAATCTAAGTGCTTCTGAAATTGCTCATTTCTTCACTTTTAAATTGGATGAACAGATATTCTTCATTTCCGAGATATCTTACGAAACCATAGATGTCTCCCACATGACTGGGGGCGCATAGTATTTCTTCAAGGTCGGGGCGCATTGGAAATTAGTAACATAGACCTTTTTGAATTTTTTGAATGTGTATCAAACGGAACCATAGAAACTTCTCACATGTTCAGAGGCTGCATAGGTTTCTTTCAATTAGTATTAGGTGGCTCAGAGCATACGTTGATATTGCTGCAGTGCCTAAAAACAAAGGGCCGTCCACATCAACACCAGACGTACCCTAACAAATGGGCCACTGACCCCGGGCGCTCTACCCTTCACCCTCCTTGTCCAATTCCCGTCTCTTACTTACACTAGCATGCACTACACTACCGCACATGCCCGGAGACCGGTCGGGCGCTTAGAGCTTGTCACTGCTGGGTCGTTGCCCCTCTGGTAGGAGATTCCTGGTTGGGAAAAAACCCACGACGACATATAGATCAGTCAATCTATTAATCAATTTTCTTTCAATTTTTAGTGCGCTTTCCAAATTAGTAAGTAGAAACTTACTATGGATTTTGTCCAAAATGATAATTACCTCTTACAAGGTCGTTGCCCAAAGGCATAGTTATTTTTCAATTCTCATGTGCATTTCAAATAAGAACTACAGACTAGTGATGCGACATCGATAACAAAGCATTGATTAACAATATTAAAACATTGATATTCAAAATACATCGACTAAAAACCATCGATGATCGACAAACTTCAACATCAATGGTTTTAGACTGGATTAGTAATCTCTAATATTAAATTCGTGCACATTAAAATCTAATTTCACAGGGTTCGTTTTGATCAATATGCCGAATAAGAGTACGGCAATAAAGGGTAAACCTAACGCCCACAGCATATTTGTTGACCTTACATCAAAGTGCGAAATGAATATGAAGAAAGAGGTAATACAAGGGCATGGATGTCATCTCGGGCGAGACAGTTTTGTCGATGAAGGTAGTGCAAATAGATAGATAGATAGATAGAAAAAAGATAGATAGATAGATAGATAGATAGATAGATAGATTTATTATTTCTGCAGGTAGGTATAGAACCTGGTGGCAGAACAGTACAATTTATATATTACAACTAAGAATAGTAAAGCGTTCCTTTAGTTCCAACACATGAATACCACTGTTACTATCAGTTATTATTTCATATTTTAACTTTTCTAGTATTGCGATCATGCGATTTCTTCATTCGAAAACGAAACATCGGAACAGAAAGAACATCGATCACAAAACATCCATGTTAAAAAACATCGGTGTTAATACATCGATGTTTAAAACATCGATGCCTCTACAAAAACAGCGATGTTTTGAAAACATCGACGTATTAACACCGATGTTTTTTAACATCGATGTTCTTTCTGTTTCAATGTTTCGCTTATGAATAAAGAAACCGCATGATCGCAATACTATAAAAGTTAAAATATGAAATAATAATTGATAGTAACAGTAATATTCATGTGTTGGAACTAAAGGAACGTTATTTGCACTATCTTCATCGACAAAACTGTCTCGCTCGAGATGACATCCATGTCCTTGTATTAACTCTTTCTTTTATGAATGAAGTAATCAGTGCCGCATGCCTACTACAGACGCCGGGGGCTGCCCGCGTCGCTGACCTCCGTGCCTGTCACTCACCGTAGGGCGAGGCGCGCTGGAAGGCCGGGTGGGCGTCGTAGGCGGAGCGCGTCCACGACGGCATGACGACCGGCGGCTGCGCGTAGAAGTGGCCGGCCGCGGCCGCCGCCGCCGCCACGCCGTGCGCGTGTGCCGCGTGCGCGTGCGCGTGCGAGTACGAGTCCACCACGGCCGCCTGGTGCACGTGCGCCGCCGCCGCCACCGCCGCCGCCTGGCCGTGCGCGTGCGCGTGGTGCGGCCACGAGCCGGTGGCCGCCGCTGCCGCCGGCGACCCGCCGAAGTGGTGCGAGTTGCCTGCGCAACAACAAACGCATCGCGACAACTGCCACTGAAAATGCGGTTAAGGCACTCGAGTGATAGTGTTTATTGTGCATGTGGTGCATATGTTACATGGTAAAAGTAGGAGATAATGACGGAAATAGTATACACTTCAGGATCTCTTATACCGAAAAATATATTTGTAGCAAGCACGTCTGGCCCTCATTTAGGCAGACAGTTAGTTTACTTGGCTGCTCGTCTGGTTGTCCGTCGTCTGTTCATGTACTCGTCAGTATGTCCATCAGTCTGGTTCATAAGCTTGTTTGTCCGCCAGACTTTCGTTTGTTATCCGGTCTGACAGCCCGTGTGTCAACCCGTCTCTCAGCCCGTCTGTTCGTCCATCCCTCCGTCCGTCTGTCCGTCCGCCTGTCTGTCTATCTGTCCGTCCGTCCGTCTGTCTGTCTGTCTGTCCGTCCGTCCGTCTGTCTGCCCGTCTGTCTGCCCGTCTGTCTGCCTGCCTCCCCGTCTGTATTGTTAGTCATCCTTGTGTGTTGATTACTGTTTCGAGAAAATTGACACACATGAGTGCTGCTTGTTGAAGAAAATTTTACAAGATCTAGTTGAGATATTCGTAGTGTATAAATTGCGGTATAAGTATCAACATTTTACAATTACAATTTGTATGTTAATGTCTGTTACATTTTAAAGTACCACTAGTTTATTTCTCATCTGTATGAGAATAGGCAATTTAGCAACATCTAATAAATTATGTAGACTATTTTTGACACAAAAGTTTGAGAATTTTTTGAGGTTTTTTTGGGGCGATGAGAAATGAGAATTTTCATAACATCCAGTTTAACACTACGAGTTAAGAAATAAACAAATCACATCAATTCAAAGTTTTAATATTTAGTACTAGCACTAGTGCCCAAAGTCAACTTTTGGGAACACTTTTCTCATCTTCCAAGGGTCTATAACAATCCAACGGGAGATTCAAAACTACTGAAAAATGGTAGTTGAGCAGATTAAAAAACGATTTAAATGATGGATAAATTGCTTTCAAAGCGCTGTAAAATAGTAGTTGATTTGCTTCAAAAGGGTTCGTAAATGGTAGTAACTGCTTCGATGTAGTTAAAAAATGGCCATTGTGTTGGTTTAAATGCGTTTAAAGTTGGTAGTTCAACACCTCAAAAAGCGACTTGAAAACTAGAACTAGACTTTAAAAGTGACAGTTGAGCAGCTTCAAACATAATAGTTCAACAGTTCTAAAAGCGTTCCAAAATGATATTCCAACCGCATCTATAACTGGCAGATAAGCAGTAGCAAAGGCGCCCAAAGCTGACGGCGACTCACCGGCCGTGGCAGCGGCGTGCGCATGCGCGCCGGGGTAGCCCTGGGAGACGTGCGCGGCGTGGCTGGCGGCGGCGGCGGCGGCCGCGGCGGCGGCGCCGGGCAGCACGGCGCGGGGCGACGGCACGTACACCGGGTGTGGCCCGGGGTGGGGTTGCAGGTTAGCACCCCCGGCGCGGCTGCCCCGCCCGCGCCCGCCGCGCCCCCGCTCCCGCCGCCGCACCCTGAGGCTCCGGCGTCGGCGCCGGCGCCGTGAGCGCCCTCCCGCCCGGCCGACCCGGCTCCGCCGCCGCCGCCGCCGGCACCGCGACCTCCGCCGCCGCCGCCGCCCGCGGCCGCGCCCGACTGGAACATGGCGCCTGCTACAGCCGCCGCGCGGCGCTCGGCCTCCGCATGTCCCCTGCGCAAACACAACACGCCAATTAGTCATTAACAACAGTTTTATTACAGCATCACACAATTTGCATTGACTCTGACATTTGAGAGGGATAAAGTTGTATTGACGCCTTCGATTGTTTGGGCTGGCCTGCCCAACGAGTTGGAGTCAAGGCATCGCTGTTCGAAAAATGCCTCAGAACATCGCCGGCGCGACTTCCTCCTCTGATCTATCAACCATTGCCCTGATGGCATTGCAGAATTTACGAAAACTTTCTTCTCAGAGAATTGGAATCTCTGAGAATTGCGCTGAGACACTTCAGTTCGTTGATCGTCCTAGCAATACGTCTGCTTGCTGGTGCGGTGGAACAGACCACCGATTATAAGTAAGTTCACAACTGGAATTAAGAACGTTAGATATCCGGATTTGAGATTACCATAAGAAGACGTGGATGAAGAAGAGTTGTATGTACTCCCTGGAAGCAAATAAGGGTAATCTTGGTATTTGTTCTTAGAATAGTTGAAATAGATGAAAACCACCCGCAATACTTCGCATAACCATGTTTAAAGTTTATACCTAATATCGACAAAAAATTACAATGTCATATAATTATTATAAAAAAACTAAATATGTCAAAATGGAATTGTTAAAAAAATAAAAATGACATTTTGAACAAGAAAAAGGAAGGAAAAAATATTAACGTCTTGCATAAATGATGAAAAACATTTGACATTAGCCTGTCAAAAGATTGTTGCAAAAGTCATTTTAATTTGACACTGAGCAAAAAACAATGAAGATTTAGAATAACTGAACTGCGTAAGACAACATGATACAATTATGTACAGTTAGTTGTATAGTCACAGTGCTCTTTGTGATCATGGGTACTCCAACAGCATTAAAATAATATCGTAAGACTGATCGATCGATTTTCGATCAATACTTCCGATCCTTTCTGTTTAAAATCCTGAAAGTTCCTTTACAGTGACGCAGCCAAGCTGGGGGGGGCATCCATATGTAGGTCTTCATCCCCCCCCGCCAGAAGCCAATGATACATACTCAAAAATTTAGATTTCACTAATGTAAAATAACGGAAGTCTTTCAACATATCAATTGCTACGTATAAATCTAAGTATAAATTAACTAAAAGCTAACAAATAAAAATGTATACTGTATTTTCATATACTGCATAAATGCAATTTTTTTATAAGAAATATGAAGTACAGTACCTCCCACTGACCTCCCGAAAGAAATTCTGTGAGCGTCTCTGTTTATACATATAGGTCGCCGTGTAGTAGATTGCATGCCGAATATTATCTTAACTGTCAAATTATTCATTTATCTGATAAGTCATTTAAAAGATTTACTGAATAATCTCTCTGAAACCTCTATTTACTTTAGAACTGAACGAAAAGTGAATGTTGTTTCAAATTTCGGTACACCCAAATAAGGGACAGACGCATGCCCATTTTGTTAAATTAAGTTGAACCAATTCTTTAAATTAAGTTGACATTTTTTTTTGTTAAATTAAGTTGACCATTTTTTCTCTCTTTCCAAATGTTGGCGCCCTGAGACGTATAAATACGTGGATTGTCTCCGTCACATCCAGGCGAAACCGCGGGCAGTTGACATCTGACAAAAGATTATAGATGTGCGGCGGAGGTTTAGCAACGATGCGCGTCTGTTTTCTTGGGATTCTGCCGCCTCGTTTCGCGTGAAAACGCACAACCACGGCAGTCGCAACCAATCAGCGGCTTCCATTAACTGGGCGGTTTTTCTTGTGTGTGTGTGCAGCGACCCGTAAGTGCCACCAATGGTTGAGAGACAACTCTCGTCTTCACAAGTGGTACGCCGCGCCTTGTCGCTGGCGCCATCGTTATCCTCTTTCTTCACCGCCGCCTCTTCTGCTCTTTCTTTTGCCGCTTTTAGACCCTTGAAGTGATGTTACTTTTCGTCGCCTTCCATTAAGAACCACATAACACTCTTCTCAGTCATAAATTATTTAACGGTTCTAAGTGAAAATATAGAGGAATCTGAATGTAGTTTTCGTAATTACGTCAACAAACTTTCGTCCTCCCCAGGGTAATTTAGACAACTCTTATGTTTAAAAAAATGAAAAAAAAACTCGTATGTGTAATATTATTTCAAAAACTTTAATAAATGTAACATTCTAGAATAATAATTAGCAAGGTCCATTAAGAATGGTACTTTTATTCTGACTTCCTAATAATAGTTTTAGTTATAATTAGTATGCTTCTCTGCTGTCAAATTTGCTTCCATGAACTTCCGTATTCTTTGAAAACAGGTGACGATGTGTTTCCACGAAGTTTATACTTCCACTTTCATTTTCACACTGTTTCTTGACACGTTCCTCTTCGGAATTGAAGTCTTACAGTCGTATGTCTGTGTGTTCTCTTGTGCTGTGTTAGTTTCTTTCCCCTACTTCTCGCTTACAAAGAACTTACAGACTTCTCTATTCCATATCAGTTACTGTCACCTTACTGGTTTTCTTCAATTTTCTAACTTCTTTTAAATTTTGTGCGTTATTCTTGTTTCTTTTATTTTCTCTCTTGCATCCATCTTTCCGTTCAATTTCACTCCTTCATTTCAGTATCTTCATTCTATTCTATTCTTGAATACGCCTCAGTTGGATGGGACCCATACAGATTAGGTCAGATTGAAGAGTTAGAAAAAATTCAAAAGAAAGCAATCAAATTTATAAATAAGGGATCTTCGAGTAGTTCAAATCCACCAAAACCTATAGAGACCCTCAGTGTGCGAAGAAATAAAAGCGAGGTTGTGCTGCCTCTTCAAGGCGTACAGTAAGCCACCTGCATGGGCAGACGTAACGAAAAGACTAGACTCCCCTTTAAGAGATGGGGTAAATGTAAAATAAGAAGTAGATGTCAAAGATCCGACGTAGGGAAATATTAATTTGTAAATCTTACTTTTAAAAATTGGAATGAAATCCCTGCAGCAGTCGTAGAGCCTTTTGCTGGCTCTGTTGGTGTTTTCAGAAGACGACTTAATAAGTACATGTAGAGGATGTATTTTACCGTACAGCTCAGAATCCATAATTCAAGTGAATTGTAGCGTATTATAGATAAAGTGTAGTGTGGTGCAGTGCAGTGGAAAGCTACCTTAATTACTTATATGGCATAACCAAAGAAAGATATTGGTGAAAGTGTAGTATAGTGTAGTGTAGTGAAGTGGTGAGAGAGTGGGTGGGGAACAAATTGAAATGTTTAAATAGCTAACTTAAAAAATCCATATTGTGTTACTATTCAAAAAAGGAATTAATTTCATGTTTATGTATATCTATACATGTTTTTAGGTGTAACTAAGTGTATGTTTCTTCATATAAATGTAGGCATGTATACTATGTAGGAGAAGTGTGTGTTCGTGTTAAGTGTGAAGTGAGAGTGTGCATTTATGTATAAGAATGGTATGTATGTGTGTATGTATGTATATATTATGAATCGTATCATGTCATATATATGAATCATCACATCATGCCTCTATTATCATATGTATATGTGTGTATATATGTGCTATAGACGTCTGTGTATATTTATATAATGGGTGTATATGCTCGAAAGGATTGTATTGTAAATGTACATATATTGTTAAAGTGTAGGATTATGGCTACCACCTGGCAACCAGCCAATTGTAACCAAATAAATATTATTATTACTATTATTACTATTATTATTATTATTATTATTATTATTATATTAGCTTTACCTCTTTATTGTTAAAATTTTTTCACACTGGATTCGTTTCAAATTTTCTTTCCTGCCTAAACAACGAGTGTTTATGAACATTTTTAAATATTCAGATCATTCATACTATAGAGTAATGTACACTTTATCACACATCCTTCTCTTTTGTAGTTATCTATTAACTCATTCATACTTCTTACACACATCTCATTACGACATTTCATACATCGTTTCATTCACAAAGTGTGTGTCAGTTGTGTTAACAAGTATATTAAGTTGAAAAGATTTAACTTTCTTTAATTTTACATTTTATTACTAAACTTCCTGCAAAAAAAATCGTCTAGTGTCAGAATAACATGCTTGTAAAGTGAGTGATTTCTGAAAGTCTGAATATGCATGATCCAAGTTGTGAACGAAGTTGGCTTCTACGTATTCAAACCATAACGACCACTATGTTATGCAAAATGAGCCATTGCGGAGAGACATGATCGATATGAACGTATACGAATAAAATTTTTTCACTTAATTTAGTTTCTGAATATTGAAAATAAGACGAAAAATACATACCAATTTGAACTTTTGTAAATTACCTTCTTCCTTTTTTTCCACTTCTTCCTTTCACTACCGACTCGCCCTTCTCCACCCCTCCCATCACCGCACCCAACCGCCGGTTGCACCTCCCGCGCCAAGGAGAATCCAATTCCCGGGGCCAAACGAGCGCCGCCCGGCCGTTCATCATGTCGACAAGCGGCTCCCCGGGAGGCGGGGGCGGGGGCGCGGCGGGCGAGCCTTGGGGAACACCCTCAAAGGGCGCCTGCGCGCGGAAAAGGGCCCGGCGACGGCCGCCGCAGACTCCCCGACGGGGTTGAGAAGGGCCCGCGAAGACACTGGGCCGATTTGGGACCAACGGGCCGAAAACCAGCGCCGATCAATGGTGGTGCAAGTTTAAAATTGATAAAATGTATGCCGTTATCGGCATGGCTATCAATCTATTACTTATGTAAGGGTATGGAGGTGTCTCGGCCGGATATTTTCAAATTAGTTTTTGATGCAATGTCACTTTTGATTAACCTTTCATCAAAAACAGTAAAATATGTATGTGAAATATGAGAGAAGTATAATCAGCACACCTTTTCTCGAGCCCCCTTTAACTCTATTCCACCAATTACTCTACACGAATAATTGAATGATGAATAAATAAATCGGGAAAAACAAAAACGTTTTATGTCCAGACGTTTCAAGAAGCTTTTGAAGAGCTAGTAAAAACGTTCTAAGTTCCGAACATCGATCGAACATTAGTAGTTGAAGATCACTCTACAGACGTCCCAGAATTTACGGACCACGAACTTTTATGCATAGAGAGATCAATTTATATTTTAAGAACAATTTCCTAACGTTAACTCAAAACTGGCAAAATGTGACATGAAACCTTTTTGTTTGCATAGGTTGAAATGACAAATTAACTTCATTTGAAATGAAGCTTTAAACATAATATAGTTTTCTGACTCGTCCATTCTCTGGTATAAAATGTTAAATGATGAAATGTCGATAGAAATACTTTTTAAAATATATTTGTTTCATTCTAAAATTAGTTTTAATTATTATCGCCTACTTCATTAAACAAATCGTAATGTTTAATGTTAATATGCAAATCAGTAATACAGCCATTAAAACCTTTACCACTGTAGGTACGTTGAAACCAAAAAAACTCGTTTAGTACAGATTTCAAAAAAAATCTTTAAAAGAGTACGCCTTGCAATGACGACCATCTACGTGTCTTGTTGAAAGGAATCAAAAGTATCATTGATCATCTACTGATGGCTTGAAAACCCCAAAATTACATTTTTCAATAATGTTTTGGAAAGATTAGAAACTGGTACATTTCTTGCCAGTAGAGGCGCGTCGAATACCTCACTTGCCTCGAAAGGTGTATAGAAAAAGGACAATTGGACAAAAGGACAAACTGTGATTAACGGGGCAGGCACTAAGATTGTCCAACAGTGCATCGGTAGATAGGGCAGTGTTTCATATTGTCAGTGAGTTACTATTTTCAAATGCATTTTCTTCTATATTACTGTAACTTAAAATGTGTTGCAATTGCATGCCGTGAACAAAATGATATAACTGTTTATGATGGAGACAAATTAAACGTGAAACGAGAATTTACCTGATAAAGTACAGGCAACCAATGCAAAATTTCCGACCCACTTCGCCAAGTCGGTAAATATAAGTGTTATCTATTAAATGTGTTTATATTGTGACTTACAATGTGCACATTTCGTGCTAATCCAGAATAAAATCATACGTGATATCAGCTTTTTCATTTTCGTAATATGATTTGTTATTGTCGCAAACACAATGTGGTTTTACTAATGTGTTGACTTCGAGAGGACCTTAAAATCCTCTGTATTTTGTACTTTTTTACGATCGTTTGCTTCCAACTCCGGAACATTCATTGCGAGCTCTCTGTGTGGTTTCCATCTACTGCAGGCCCCTGAAAGGCTGTTGAGTCGACCAAATTAAAACAATTTCTCAGTCATTTGATGTACTAGGAGAAATGTTGTCATTTTTTTTCGATCGCTTACTTCCAACTTCTGAACATTGAGTGCGTACATTCTGCGTCATTTTTGTCCACTTCAGACGGCTGAATACCTGTCGAGTCCGACATATCAAACAATTTCTCAGTCATTTGAAGCACTACGAGAAGTTTTGTACTTTTTCTGATCGCTTACTTCCAACTTCTGAACATTCAGTGCGAGCTTTCTGCGTCGTGCGAGCTTTCTGCAGGCGGCTGAGGGGTTGTCGACCAAATCAAAACAATTTCTCAGTCATTTGAAGCACTACGAGAAGTTTTGTACTTTTTCCGATCGCTTACTTCCAACTTCTGAACATGCAGTATGCGCATTCTGCGTCATTTCGGACCACTGCGCGACGGCTGAAGGGCTGTCGAGTCGGCGGCGCCCCACCGGAGGTGCTGACTGCGGCGAGGCAGCGAGGCGAGGCGCGACGCGGCGCCCGTCGGCGATTGTTTTGCACGCGGCCGCTGGCGTCGCGGGGCGGTCGGCGAACAGAAGCGAGCAGAACAGAGCAGAGCAGAGGCGCTGTGCGCCGCAGAACGAGCGGATCGACGCGCGAGGTGCCGCAACATGCGTCTTCACAGGCTGTCGACGGCACTCGTTTTTCAAGGCGTTTTAAAGGTTGGGTTTGTGGCGAGAAGAATCTGGAGAAGAAGGAAGACATTCTTTAAAAATGGTTTAACTGTAGGGCATGGCGAAAAAAGGTCTTTCAGGGCGCTATGGCCTGCGTGTCTTTTTTTTTTTATTCTTTCTTTCTTGAAATGAGGTACTGGTTGTCTGTTTGTAATATTGTTCATGTTCATCCAATGCATCTCTTAAGCATATTTTTATTTTATTAAAAATTGTTTTTTCTGAAGGGTATGGCAAAAAAAGCTTTTTTTGTTGCTTTTTCCAATTTTTCGTTAATTAAGGTAGTATTAGATAGGTTACTGCTTGACTTTTTGATATATTTTTCATGTTCTTCTTTTCTTCTATCTTTTAAACGAATTATCATTAGCAAAAATGTTGTATGCTAAGTTTCAATTCCGACCAAAGCAAAGTACTAATCAAGATAATAACATAGTCTTAATTACCACATTTCAAATGTCATTGGAACGAACCATCCGTCAGAGTTACCAGGATGAAAATTTATAACAGTGCAGTGAACTGATGGGTACTTAAACACTCAGTAGAGTACCCTACAAAATTATTCATCCCACACGCCCTCTCCGGGTCGTGAACTCAACACAGGGGTATAAATATATCTAACGAGGCGAGGGCGGCCACGTGCGGCGGGGTCCGCCTGCATTCCGCGCGCTCCTGGCGGAGGCAAGTGCGGGAGGCGCCGCCACGCCCCCGCCCCCGCACCGCCCTCGTGCCAGCCCATCCCACGCCACACCAAGCCCTTTCCAAGCCGCCTCCGACGGACCTCGAACTGTCTGCGAGGCTCAAGCCTTCTCCAAGCCGCTCCGCTCCAGGGCTATCCCCAATTACACCCGAGTTGCCTCAGCGATGTCCGAGCAGTACTCTATCAAATGGCTCACGGATCACGCCCTACACTACATGACCTACACTACCACTCATGACTACTGGACACTACTGGAACATACAGTTTGTCCCGGCTCGGGCGGTTCTCCGCTTGTGAGACACACCAGTTTGGAAAAAAATTGCGGGTCGACATGTAAGGCACTAAACCAGGCACTAAACTTACAGGACTAATGGCCATAGCAGGTGACACGCTCGAAAACAATAATTAATTAATAAATCACCCATGTTCCTTCAAAGCCCTTCTCAGAAGGGGTTATAACGTTTCCCACGCCGCTACCAAGAGACCATCAAGCTGTCTTCTAGACAAACCCAGATCGCCTCCAATCCATCTCCGAGCCACTTGCAAACTTCCTTGAAGCAGCTCCGATATCGCACACAAAACGACTCCAAGCACCCCAAATCACCATCAAATCATCCCCAAATCGCCCCCTTCATACTGTTCCTAAGCTGACTCAACTGACTAAACTGACTCAAACTGCAACCAAATTACCTCCATGTCACCTCCAGTGGCCTTCAGGCTGCCCCTAAGCTATCTCTCTAAACCCACCAACGCCATTCCCAAGTCGTTCCTCACCCATTCACAAACCTTTCTCTATCCGCTCTTAGGCGCTCCCTAAGCCCCCTCTAACGATCAATACTTCATGATTGCTGGTGGAGTATCGTGACAAAAGAGCACGGACCGCGCGCAAACTTTTTCATCCTTGTCCCCCACATACACACAAACCGCGCACACACACACACACACACACACACACACACAAACAAACACACCAACTTACACTCATTACCACACACGCCAAGAGACCAGTCAAGAGCTTAGAACTTCTCTCGGCTGGAGCAGTTCTCTGCTGGCGGTGATACCCGGAGAGGGAAATCCCCACAAGCTGACGTGTACGTTGGAGCCAGATTTCACCATAAGGGTTGGAGCCACTACTCGCCGCCACTACTCGGTATAAAATAATTCATTACACTAACGGGATTAATTACTATAGAAATTGACGTATTCGTAAACAATTATCCACACCCTTCTAATTTAGCAGCCCCCCACACTCCCTTCCTATGACTCTTATTGTTACAGTTCCTCTTAAAGTATTTCTGTCCCTCTCAGTTTTTGTATCTACCACTTACTGTATTTTGATAAAGAATTGCAATGATAATTCTCGTAATATTTCTTTTATCTAGGGGAGGAAAGTATGCCTTTACGGGCCTTTACGAAGCAGCTCACGTATCTTTCTCCAGTATATGAAGAATTTGGATCGTGTGTTCAATACTTGATACAATTTGTATTTGTAAAATTTAAAATAAATAGAATGCCATATTAGGTTCTGTCAGTGTAAATAGTTTTTAGCGCCAACGTAAGGAGCTCCGCCGACAGTAAATTAAAAATTATCAACCATATGCGATAAAGAGGAATTTTAGCAACAATTTATCAACTATTTACAAGCGCCATTAACCTTTTGAACAAAAATATTAGTTCAAATATCCTTATATTTACGTAGATTTATTGTTTCTTCTGCCCCTACTTGTACCACATGATACACATATTCTTCGAATTACATCCTTCTAGTTCTCCTTACACCCTCCTGGGGCCACCCTACGCCCCCGCGCGACTGTCTCGTCCCTCCCTCAGCCGCGC